CCTCCAAGGAGCTCAGCCCATCCCCACACGCCCCCACCCCCACCGCGCAGCTTCTGGCCAGCGCCTGTCCGCCCTTGTCGGGGCCGAGCAGACTCGCGGGGGACCCAAGCGGGCTCTGAGCCCGGTACAGCAGGGGGGGACCGGCCCGGATCTTTCTTCGGGGGGCTCTGCTTCTCCAACCCCCCGGCTGCCCCAGACACGAGCAGGTCTCAGCTGGCTCCACGCCCCCCGCAAAAGGCTCCCACGCAGGGGGCCCAACCGGAAGAGAAAGGCGAACAGAGCCGCCCTCCGGGGACGCACAACTGCTGTTCCGCATTCTCTTCGCCCGAGTGAGGGCGCGGGGCCGGCCAGGCCGCCTTTCCCAAGGAACTTACTCCCAGTTGCGGGTTTGAGTTGCGGCGCGTTCACACAACAGCCTCTACATGTGTCGCGACTTTCAGCTTGGCCGGGGTCTGCCGCTCCGGGATTGGCGCCGCGCCCAGCTACGTCACGCCCTCCGATTGGTCCCCTCCTCCTATTTGCCCCGCCCCTCATCCACCGGGCCCGAACCGCAGCTTGCCTTCCGGCCCCCGGCGCCGGCCCGGACCAATGGGAGCGCGAGGGAGGCGGGCGAGGGAGGCGGGCTCGGGGCCGGAGCCCGGGGGCGGGACGGCCATTGGTCGGTTGCTGGCGATGGAGGCGCCCGAGGGAGACGGGCCGAACGGAGACCGAGCCGCAACTCGCTCGCCCCGCGGCTGCCCGGCCGTCCCCGCGCCCACCCGCCTGCGCGCCTTCCTCTGGTGCCGGGAGTTCCTGGCCGGGGCCTGGCGCCGCCTGGCCGCCCCCGAGCAGCTGGGCATCGTCCCCGTTAGGTGAGCCATGACGTCACCGCCCCGCCCTGCGCAGGCGCGCCGCCGCCGGGAGGGGGAGGAGGGAGAGCCGCGCCGTGGGGGGGGGGGGGCGCCCGCCGGGATGCCCTGGGATGGCGGGCGGGGGGGCGGGAGAAGCCCCGGTCCCTCCTGGCCGGGATCCCGCCGCAGCCCCTCGCCCAGCTGACCCCGGGGGGTCTCGGCTCCCCCGAGCCTGGCGGTGCGGAGGCTCCCAGGGCAGCAGCCCCCGCTGGCCCCAAGCGCTTGGGGCACCTCTCCCGCGGCGACCCCCGGCCCAGGCGGCTCATCCAGGCGCTCATTGCGGGGACCCCGTTCCACCGCGGCTGGCTGGGGATTCTGGGAGTTGGAGTCCGAAAGTCTTGGAAGTGGCCAAGGTGGGAGACCTCCCCCCCCCAAGGCTGCGGGCTCTGGGAGACACGCAACAGGCACGCACAATGGAACTCAGGTAGTCCTCGACTTACGATCACACTCCCCCCCCCAGGCTTCTGCTGCTAAGTGAAGCATTTGTTAAGGGAGGTTCGCTCCATTTTATGACCTTCCTTGCCACCGCTGTGAAGGTGAACCCCGGCCGTTGTTCAAGTTAACAACTTGCTAAGTCCATCCAGCTCCCCCACTGGCTGTGCTGGTCGGAAGGTCGCAAAAAGGGGACCACGTGACCCCAGGACGCTGCGACCGTCATAAACAGGAGCCACTGGCCAAGCTGGTCTGGATTTGGGCCCCGTGGCCGAGGGGAAGCTGCAAAGCGTGGAAAACAGTTACCAGTGTGGTTGCAACTTCAGACGGTCACTAAGCGAACTGTAGTAGGTCGAGGACTACCTGTCAGGAGAGTTGGAAGGGGCCTCGGAGGTCTTCTAGTCCAGCCCCCTCGTTTGCGTCCCCTGGGAGAAGTCGGGGCTGCCTGCCTCTTTCCCGGGAGGGGAAGGAAAGGGGGCCTGTCCCACCTGCCTGCCTCTGCTTCCCCTGCAGTGGCGGCCTGAGCAACCTGCTGTACAAGTGCTCCCTGCCGGACCACATCCCGAGTGTCCAGGAGGAGCCCCGCCAAGTCCTGCTCCGCGTCTACGGCGTCATCCTGCAGGTGAGCTCCAGCCGGGCCTCCCAGAAGCCTCCCTTGCCTGCCTGCCTGCCCCCATGGCCCCAGGAGAGCCAGCCGGGCCTCACAGGCGGTCCTCGGCTTACAGCAGTCCCCTTAGTGACCGTCCAAAGTTACAACGGCCACCGAAAAGAGGGACTTGTGACAGTTGCAGCCTCCCCAGGGTCAAGGGGTGCTGGCCAGCTGACTCACATTTATGACGGTGGCTGTGTCCCGGGGTCACGTGATCCCCTTTTATGGCCTTCTGACGAGCGAAGTCCAGAGGGAAGCTGGATTCACTTAACGACTGCAGTGGTTCACCTAACGACTCTGGCAAGAGGGTTCATAAAATGGGACAAAACTCGTTGAACAAGTTTCTCCCTGAGCACCATAAATGTTGGGCTTGAGTTTGGTCGTAAGTCGAGAACTGCCTGTACTGAAGGAAGTGGACGGGGCCGCCCTGGCTGTGCCACGAGGGGTTGCAGGCCTCCCCCCCCCCCCCCCCCCCCCCCCCCGGATGCATCTCCCTCCCTCCCTGCCAGCTGATCAGCCGCAGCAGCGACCCTGGGCTCCCCTTGCTGGGGAAGAGCCGAAGCCGCCACTCCTGGGCCCTGGACTCCCCCAGGCTGCCCTCCGTGGGCTGATGACCGCTTGACCGGCCGACTGCAGGGCTGGGGATGCCCATGGCCCCGATCCCGCTGGCTTCCTGGGAGCAGCCCCTTCAGCCTCTCCCCCTCTCCTCCCTCCCACAGGGGGTGGACTCGCTGGTTCTGGAGAGCGTCATGTTTGCCATCCTGGCTGAGCGGGCGCTGGGACCACGGCTGTATGGCATCTTCCCGCAGGGCCGCCTGGAGGAATACATCCCGGTAGGTGGCTCTGCCCGCCCCTCCCTGGCAGGCAGGACAGGCTGAACCAGGCTTGGCACGGCCGCCCAATGCCTGCCCTCTCCTGGCCCACGGGGATCCTGACGGGGTTACTTCCTCCTCCGCCTCCTCCTCCTTTGCCTGGAATGGCACAGGGTCTCCTGCTTGAGAAGGGGGCTGGACTAGAGGACCTCTGAGGTCCCTTCCAACTCTCTTCTTCTGATTGCCAGAGTCCCATTTTAATGAATTGTGAAGAATTAAAGGGAGGGAGGGGACCCAGAATTCGGCTTCCGGTTAGTGCCGGTCCGTGCCTTAAGGCGCTCAGGCAACCACCCCCAGCGGAGGGGCAGGGCTGCCCTCACAAGCGCCCCCCCCCCGCAAGGTGTCCCCAGAGTTGCTGTGGGAGACCAGTGTGTGCACAGGTTCGAACTCGAGTCCAAACTGGAGACAGCGCTGCTTTGCCTATAATCTTGTTTGGTTGCTTTCTGTACCTTCTGACGCCAAGCAGCTCTGGGTGACTTTGAATTCCCAAAGGGACAAAAACCCAGGAAGCCGTCAAAGGGGCATAACGGAGCCAGGATCCTCGTCTGGGAACAGAGCAGCCAACCGCCCCCCTTCCCACCCTCCCCTCTCGACCCCCAAGAGGTGGGGAAACAGCCGGGCCTTCCGAGGCTATAGGAGTCGGAGCGTGGGACCTTGGGTTGTGCCCCAGCCTCATTGTGGCTTTGTGCCTTGTGTGTGTGTGTGCGTGCGTGTGTCACGCGTCCTTCTCTCCTGGCTGTCTCCCTCCTGCTCTCTCCCAGCCGGGGGGGCTTTCGGGGGGGGCTTATAAATCCACATGAGCTCAGAGGTCTCCCAGAGCCCTTCGTGACCCCCTGCCACCTCTCCATCCGCCCCCCCCCCCCACGATTCTGGGCGCCCCTCCCCCCCCCCCCCCCCCCCGCCGACGGCCACAGGGCTGCCCTCTGTCTCCTCCCGCAGAGCCGCCGCCTGGTGACGGAGGACCTGCCAGAGCCCAGCATCTCCGGGGAGATCGCGGTGAAGATGGCCCGCTTCCACGCCATGGAGATGCCCTTCAACAAGGAGCCCAAGTGGATGTTTGGGACCATGGAGCGGTGGGTCCCGGCCTCTCCCACCTGCCCTCCCCACTCCCAGGCAGCGGGACCCTCCTTCACCCTCCTCTCTTCCTGGCAGGTACCTGAAGCAGATCTCGGAGCTCACCTTTCCCCAGGAGGCCCAGCAGCACAAGCTGAACCGGCTCAAGGCCTACGACCTGGAGGCCGAAATGCACAGCCTCAGGTGGGCAGGCGCCCTTCTCTTGCCCTGGCCTGGCTCCCTGCCAGCTTTGCAGCAGCCTCTAATCCCCCCCACCTCCCCCCGGGGTCAGGCAAGGGCTGCGGGTGGGGCAAGGTGGGCTCGGGGGCTGGGAGGCGCCGCTCTCCCCCCCCCCCCCCCCCGGCTCAAGGCAGCCCCCTCGTTTCGGGCTGACTCCCTCTCTCCCTCTTCCCCAGGACGCTTCTGGAGGCCACGCCGTCCCCCGTGGTTTTCTGCCACAATGACGTGCAGGAAGGTGAGGGCGCCTGGCGGAGGCCCTGGGCGGGGGTCCCGGCTGGGCTGGCGGCCAAACCCCCTCGCCCCCTTTCTCCCCACGCAGGGAACATCCTCCTCCTGGCTGGCCGCCAGGCCTCCTCCACAGACCGGCTGATGCTCATCGACTTCGAGTACAGCAGCTACAACTTCCGGTAGGCCGGCCGGCCGGCACAGCTGGGCAAGAGGGAAGGGACAGGCCAGCGCTGGTCCTGGTGCCGCTCATCAAGCCGTGGAAACTCCCAGCCTCCCCACGGCC